ACCCTCACTTCTTTCTAGGTTTTCCAAGCGAGATGAGTGTTGACTATATTCCGAGTAAACGTGATCTTGAGTATCATCATACTCACCAAATACTCTCTCTTCACTATTGGTTTCCTCTTCTTCAACACCTTCTTGAACCCCCTCAACATTTCCAGATTGTACATCATTCACAACCACGCTTGAAGGATTCATGCCGGGAGTAACGCATTCTAACCCGTTAGCTACTACATCTGAGTATAGCTGATCCCATAGCTCTTCAATGGCGCGTGGAACCCCTTTGTTACGAAATTTTTTAGCTTCAGGTTTCTCCTACACAATATCATAAACTATAAAATCAAACAAAATATTAACTTTTCTTTAATTTACCAATTATGACTATGTGAGAAAACAACTAACCTTGATTTTTATCTCCCACCATTCATTGGAACAATCAAGCTTTCCAGTTATGTAATCCCAACCTAGGCCAGTTTCAGATTGCTTCAAACCTTTCCAAATTCTCCAATCTCTCTTCATTTGATCATACTTGTTTTTTAAACTTCTATAGTTGTTAACTTTCCGATTAGTACTTGCCTCAAAGTCTTTGGCAATGTCTCGCCATTTGAATAGTTGATTGCGGCCATTCTTAACAACGAATGCCAAACATAGCTCCAACAATACAATCGTGAAATCGTTTGTCCAGTTAAATGTCTTTCCCTCAATACGGCCACCCCCAGTGTTATCATCACTGGTGGGTCCACCCCCAGCGTTGTTATTTTTAGTGGGGCCTGTAGGCATCAAAAATTGCCTATAGTTCTCCACAACCGGTACAGTGTTAACAAACGACGATGAACGTCACCATCCAATCCACATGAGCCTAATCGACGTCGACGAACGACTTAATATAGAAAAAAACAAACATTATAATACTACTTCAAGGTTTTAAAGAACTAAAAGAAAATGTCGATAATTTGTTCTATTTCATTTGAAGCAAACACCAAAAAATAAAACTGAAGCAACATTTCTAATCATAATGAAAAAGAGCTTAGTAAAAATTAATTACTACATGATTAAGAATGGACCGTGAGGGCTTAGTGAAAAAAACCAACAAGCCTTAAACACAAAACATCTTTTACATGGTTCTCTCCTAAAAGTTCATCCTTACATGGTTCTCTCCAAACAGACTCCTCAATCGACAGTTCTTCACTGATTACATTCTAATATGGCAATTGCTCTAGGACAATTAAGAATTTTAAACTGAAAGATTAAATTCAATACAAGAATTTCTAACAAAGAGTTATTGACAAGTCATTATGCCTTGTAACAAAGAATTTCTAACAAAGTCATTATTGACAAGTTATTGACAATTAAGAATTTCAAACTGAAAGATTAAATTCAATACAAGAATTTCTACACTCTGGATGATCCATGTACAGAATCCATTTTAGAGAAGTGGCTTGTACATGAACCCAAAAAAAAAATTCTTTAAGCTTTAAATGGTAATAATCATAATATCATTTCTATGGAATATGGATTAATACTTATGGCATCAATGCCTTCTGGGTGCTAAATTTCTCCATTTTACAGATTTCAACAAAAGTCAAAAGGCATATCTGAATTTCTCTCATCCTAAGAAATAATTAGCATGTATTCCAGTCTCTTAATCATCCACACACTTCTCTTGATCCTTATTTATGTTATGTTTGGGACAATTTAGCTGTAAATGGCATACATAGAAGTGTTCAATGAGGATATATGGCAAGATGTGGTCTACGTGGTTGGTTGATAAGTTGGGTAATCATGTCAAGTCACATGCATTTTAGAGAAAACAATGAGAAACAAACTATATATTCAAGGACACAAGACTTTGCATGTGCATGCAAATTCATGTCAAATCGCATGCTTAAAGGCCTCACACAAAAATAGAAATCTTGCAAGGATATTTAGGACTGATATAAGAGAATGAAATTGTGCAGAAACACAAAATGGGGGAGGGAGGGAAAATGATCGGGAAAGAGATATGCATGAGAATGTGCAGAAGTTATACAAGGCAAAACAAAATTTAAACAAGATTTGCATAGATTTCCTTGAGATCTCGAACAATGTCAATAAAGCCTCTCAGAATTTTCCAGTCGCATGCAGGAAATGAAGTGCCTAAAAAGGACTCGAGACAAATTTCAATAATTACCCTGGGCACGTTTAATTAGTGGACATATGAATTCTGGATTTTAACTTTGAGGGAGAATAACAAGTTAAAGTTATACCATATCACCTTCACTTTTAATGCGTGCACAAGTTTTTAAGCTTGTATTTCCAATCCAGCAGAGATCAACATCAGATGATTATGGTTTCCATTCAAAAAAACATAAAAAAGTTAAACTACTCCTGTTAATCTTATACGAGTACGCAGCTTGAATGACCATGCCATCACTATGGAATCAGAATTTTGTATAAAGTTATACTATGCAAAAACCTAGACCAAAGTATCAAGATAACTGGATACAAGGTTGTTAGAAATGTAGAACATACATGTCTATGTGATAACATTCTCCAGCCACCACTTGACCTCCATTACCTAGTCTCTTACCAGTTATAACTTCATGACTGCTTGCTTAACATAAACAATACTGTTGACCAGTAAAAGTAATCTTTCTACTTGGACTACTTCGTGACATAATTTCACCACACTTTGGACCAAGAATAAAACTCAACGAACCAGGGTAAAAGACAATAGAACAGGTCATGGATTTTGATCAAAGGACTAAATCCATCAGAAACATATCCAGCAATTGGTTAATCTGATATTTACTGGAATATCAGATGCACCTTCCAGTGCATCTAAAGATTAAATTCATTACATTCTAATATGGCAATTTCTAACAAATAATTTCTAACAAAGATTAAATTAAATTCACTGATTACATGAGCTAGCAGGCCAGGAAATTAAGCTCATAGTATGCAATTTTTCGTGAGAGCATCAGCAACACTTTCGACTCTATTTCTATACATTATGAAAGTTCCTACAAAAAGAATTAATATTTAGATGGTTATAGTTCAATTTAAATTTAACTAACACTCTCATAGGCAAAAAAAATTTAGATGGCACATATATACCCGGTCATGACTGGATCAGAGACTCAGATCTATACCCAGCACAAAATAAGGCACGATCGAAGAAAAGTGAGGAGATTTTGAAACTAGAAAACACAAAATAAGGCACGATTGAAGAAAAGTGAGGAGATTTTCTAGCTTACGGGGAGAGAGCGGCGGTGATCGGATCGACGTCGATCGAGCGCGGTGATCGAATCGTTGTCGATCGGAGCGGATCGGATCGGCGGCGGTGATCGGATCGGGGAGAGAGCGTCTGTGATCGGATCGGGGAGAGAGCGGCGGTGTCGCGATTCCTCCTTAGATGGATTTTTTTGTTGACGGCAGAAGAGTTTCACGCGTGAAATAAGAAAGAGGGGTTTTATTAGGGTTAAAAACGGAAGAATTTTAATTGACAGCTTCTTTCAAAGACAAACGCTACTTCAAGTAGCTTTTCAAAAGCTAATTGCAAAAGACACAATCTCTAAAATAATCTCTTCATATTTTTTGTCACCAAACAGCTCTACTAGCTTATTGACCAAGTCAATAAGTCACAAGCTCTTAGATAAGACACTTTTTTTGGTTGCCAAACAGTGCCTAAGTCGAGTGAAAATTTTAGGTTGTAGCATTCCAGATATAGAATACAGATATGCCAGATGTAGGACAAAATCTGGAACAGCAGAAATGAAAATTGTTTATGCCCTGCAGGCAACAACTTCTTTCTCATTTATACAGAAAGCGCCCATTTGATTGAAGCTGTAATGAGGTGTAGAGAAGGGGGGGGGGGCTTATTTAATTTCTCATTTATACAGAAAGCGCCCATTTGATTGAAGCTGTAATGAGGTGTAGAGAAGGGGTTATTTAAGCTTTACTGAAAATTAATATTGTATATGTTTATGGGTTGCTTAATGGGAGCTCAAATCTATACATAGGCTGAGAAACTAGAATGCAGATCAATACAGCAAGTGGAAATATACATACAATGGTGAAGCGTTTCCCATTGAGACTATTTAATGAGAATCCCAAGATGGTTGCATTGATCATATCATGTCCTGTTGGCACTTCTGCAGGAAAGACGTCAAGTCTAGATTTCGGTGAGTAATTATCAACATATTTAACTGAAGCCTTTACATGATATTACACTTACAATTGCCTGCATATCGATTAAATGCTGCCATGTTTGGTGGTTGGATTTTTCAGAAGGTTCTTGCGTTGTCATAATACCAACACTTTCTCACTTGGAAAAATTCTTAGTACCTTTGGTTTCATGGCTATCATATGGGAACGTGATAGATATTAGATCTCGTATTTTCCGTGATCTCAGCTGTAGCAGATACATGACATTATTAGTATATAATGTTAGTATGAATGTTTTGCCTTTAAAATAATATTGTATGTGTGGACATAGTTATATTGTAGTTTGCTGCTGATTTTTCTCAGTTGTAGCTGATATTCTGCTATATAGCTAGTTGTTAAGTCTAGCGCATGGAGAAATGCTGATACCCTTGTTTCCTTCTTCTCGTAAACATAAGCTCTCTGCTTTTGATTCAACAGTTACATAGTGAAGTATTTCATTTTGTTTGTTGAAACTTATCATATGGTATATGGACATTTTTGGGTTAAGAAAAATATTACTGAAAATGTTGGAACTGTTATGGATATGAATGTAGTATATGCAAGGCCTTCGTTTTTTGTTTTATTATTATTATTATTATTATTATTATTATTATTATGTGGCATAGGAGTCTGTGGACCACCTAAGCCACTTCTGTCAAAATTGAGTATGGGGACCACTTAAGCCACTTCCACTAAAATTTATATAAGTTGCATGTTACATTTTAGTATTTTCACTGTTCATCTTTGCTTGACGTGCTTGTCTTCTGTTGATATTGGTGGTGATAACTCTTATTGATAATATGGTCGCATCATACAACCAGTGAGAATATTCAATGGGCTCAGTGTGAAGATTGTTTCAAGTGGCGTAAGCTACCAGTTGATGCTCTTCTTCCTTCTAAATGGACTTGCTCTGAGAACAAGTGGGATCCTGAAAGGTAACTACAGCAACATTTTGTCTTGAAAGTGCTCCATTTTAGATATAATGTCCTTCCTCATAAGTTTCTGGTCTTATAAAAAAATGACACCTTGTCAGTCAGTGTTTAGCGGTTTGGTTCAATTCTATCATATTGCTGTATTTTAATGACTGTCTCATGTGCAGAAATGCATGTTAAGTGCTTGCTGATGAATCTCCCTGGATACACACTATTAAATTTTTCCTGCTTGAATTTAGATTTTACTCTTCATTTTTGTTCCTTGTGGTTAAGCCTATATGGCTATTGCTGATATGACCGGTCCTATTTGCATGATAAAATTAGCGGAACAAGGGTTGTTGCAATGAGAAGTTAGGATGGGGGAGGGGGCAACTAATAATCAATTCATATTGAATCGTCTAGATCCAATATAGTTTAGGAACCATTAGAACTGATAAATAAGATTTGAATTCATCTTTGAATTTTCAATAATTCTTAATTAGGTTAGTATCATCGTAGGTTCAGTTTTAACAATCAACTTTTAGGTACTATCTATATGCTAGGTTCCCCCAGAACATTTGGAATTTGAATTATGCCAACATATACAGTTTCTAATTAATTGACTTTGGACAATTTTTTTAACTTTATTAAGCATAGAATTCTGAGGTCTTCCTTGGTTGGACAGGCTTCAACTGCATGACCAAAACAGTACTGTCTTCTACATGTGAGCTAGCTTGCTAGAATTTTTTGGAAGGCCCCTCTCCTGTCCATATTTTGCTTTCGTTGGCTAGGAATTATTAGGGATTCAGATGTTTGGCATCAGATTGAGAACCCTTTTATAAACTTTTACTGAATATTTCATGAAGTCTAGTGATCCGTAGAAACCTATTTGATGTGAAAACCTTTGGTGGTGACAGGTCACGTTTGGAGCAATATATGTTGCACAGTTCATGAACTTTCTGATAAGTATTAATTTATAGAAACTAATTTGACCAACACAATTCACCATATACGGCAGCATCATAGCACCATAAATCCTAGGAAGATTTAAATTCTTCTGTTATTGATTTATTATGTTCTTCAGGCATGACTACTCTGAGGTGACTACCATTGTGAATAATTGATCAGTACATGTGTTGTGTGACCTCTTTAGGTAGCCATACAAGTTTAACTTGTAATTTCACTTCAGTCACCATCAATTTTGCAACCATGATTTTCTAATTAAAGAGTTTTAGGACAAATACTATTACTTAGTTTCTTATATCAAGGAGTTTTAATTCCAAGAATAATCACAATTCATGCTTTTGTATCCAGTTGGAGTTTACTTTGCCAATGTGTTATCTACAATTCTGGGATTTCTGAAAGGTGGAATAGGATGTAAATGTTATTATTTAAAGGAGCGGTTTTGTAAGTGTAAAAGGTCAATCGAGTATGGGCTATATGAGAGGTTACACTGCCAAGAAGATGTTATGGAATATCATTTATGACCGTTTGTTCTCTTTTGATTCAATTTAGTTACAAGTTTTCCTTAGTCATTTGAAGATAATTCATCCAGTCCCTCCTGTGTATTTATATTATCATCACTGCAAGTCT